AATAGAAAGTATCTGATAAAAAACAATATACTTCTATACAATAGAACAATACTTTAGAAGAGCACTATGCATCAAGTGTGGAAGAGAAGTTTGTTTATATTTTAGATGTCATCATATTAGGTAATTAAAAGACAACCTGATTGATTCCCCATCCATAACTGAAATGATATGTGGGAATGACCTTGGGAGACAAGTGGAAGAGCCACAGACTAGGCAACAGTCAGATAAGAGACAGCCAAGTCCACAGAAGAAATGTGGGCATGACAAACATCTCAGAAGGGACTCTCCCTAGTCTGAACGTGGAGGAACTTTCTGTCATGGGCAGATCACTCGCTGTCTGCTTGGTTTTATGCTAGGTATGGAGGTCCAGTTTTAGAATCTGCAGGAGCAGAGAACTGGTTAAAATGGTCTGACTCAGATGTCTGACTGATCCAGATGGTTTTCTGAAGGCGCTTGTGGAATGTCCTGTGTTAAAGTCTGGCTGGTCTGTGAGACATGCAGATGACCCATGTAGTTAACCCTATTGTACCAAAATGCCATCTTTCTTTCACCAGGGATCTGGCAGCAATAAAGCAAATAGATTGGAGCATGAATAGAGAAATTCTTGTGATAAATTGTGATAAATAAATCGCCTCCATTATATCAGCCCACCCCATTTGGTCCAGCAGAAGGGGCATGTTGTGGACCACAGCAGTCAAGGAATTTCAGCTGGTGGGGTCTAGGAAGAGGGCCTTTTCTACCGTGGCCCCTGCCCTGTGGAACAACTTACTATCAGAGGTGTGGTGCTCATGGCCTTCCAGAAGAGTGTGAAATCTTGGCTATGCCAGATGGCCTGGGGCCCTGATAGGGGCTTGCACTGTTGGAATTGGCTGGTGGGGTAATCGATTCTGCCCCACCCTTCATCTTGAATTGTATATAGTCTTTTTATATACAGTAGTATTATTTTTTTAGCTAATTTAATATGGATATTTATATTTTTACTGTTTTTACTGTTTGATTTTAATTGTGAGCCACCCAGAGTCACCTTCTGGGGGAGATGGGTGGCATATAAATTTAATTAATTAATTAATTAATTAATTAATTTTAAAAAATTGTACCCCGCATGGAGTTGAAAGATGGAGCCATCTGAAACTCTATTCTGCAGCAGTGGGTACAGTGAAAAGGGCTTGCTTCTCTGCTCTGTTGCATCTATACAGAAGAGTCTGGTGGTGCCAGAATAGTTGAAGACTGGAAGAGATGTTGTGATCTTTTGCAGACAAAGTTAATAGGATTCACTACTATTTGGATTCTTATATTGCCACAGGTCATACAAAGATAACTTTGGCAACTGCTTGTCAGGTTTTCACCTTGGGGATCATGAAAATGTGGACAGGATATGTAGAGAGTAGAGGGAACCACTTTCTTGAACCTTACCATTTGTGGATGATTATATGAGCCAGGTTGGGACTGGTCCCATGGTCAACACTCTTTGAATGTCAGATGTGTTCTTGCCTACCTAAAGGAGTCATTTAGAAAACTGTTATTGAAAAAGCCCTCCCTTGTCCCAAAATAATTTCCTCATTTAGGACAATATCAAATATTCCATTCTTAGATAAATTGATTGAGAAAATGGTAGCCTCTCAGGTCTAAATGAATCTACATGAAACTGTTTTTAGGATCTACTTCGACTGAGGTTTCATCTGGGATGATCTGTGCCATAAACTCAGAAGGGGATGACCTAATCTGAAACTATATGAACCTGTCTTTACTGTTTAACATCTACATGAAACCACTAGGGGAGATAATTTGGCATTCTGGAGTAGGATGCCAGTAGCATGCCAGTGATATCTAGCTCTACTGCTTTCTACCTTCTGAATCCACAAAGACAATCAGTATCTTTGAATATTACCTAATTTTAATAAGGGGCTGGATGAGGGATAACCAGGTGAACTTCTAGACAAGATGGAAGTGCTGTTGGTAAGTAAAAGCAGGACTCTGAGACTGAGGTGGAGCCTTTTCTAAATAAGTTGCACTTTCTCAGAAAGAGCAGGTTTGCAGGCTGAAAGTGCTCTTTGACCCCCACTGGATTTGCAGGTGGTAGCAAAGAACACGTTAGCAAAATTTTTGCTAGTGACTCAGTTGCGACACTTCCTGTGCCAGAATTAGTAGCAAGTATCCACACCTTGTTTATTTCCCATATTGACAACTGCTATACACTCATACTGGCCTACCAATGAAAAGTGACCAGAAGTTGGAATTGGTGAAAACATGGCGGCTTGTACAAGATAGAGGGGTCATATGAAGCTAGCATTGAAAGTTCTGTACTGGCTACTAAATGGCCACCAGGCTCAATTTAAAGTGCTTAAATTTATTTATTTGATTTGATTTTGGTACCACCTGACTCCAGAATACTGCAGTAACATAAATTATACACACAGAGAGAGGAATAACACAATGGTGGTCCAGACAACATCAACACAAAAACAAAAACAAAAACAAAAAAATCAATCATCTCTAACAAGGGGGGAGCACACGCATCTGACCCCAAGGCCAGGTCTTTAAAGCTTTCCTGAATGCCCTCAGAGTGGTCTAGATCTCAGGAGGTACCACATTCCAGATGGCAGGTGCCGTGACCGAGAAGGCATGCTTTCTGGGTCCTGAAAGATGACACTGTTTATCCTTAAGCCAGAAACGGGTTAGAACCTGATTATTTGAAAGACTGCTTTTCTCACCATGAACCTGCTTTGTTACATAGACCTGCAGTAGAGGCCCTTCTAAAGATGCCATCATTGCTAGAAGCTCAATAACTGGCTATGCAAGGAAGAACATTCTCCTGCGTGGCCTTCAGATTATTCACTCCCCAAAGAGGCATTTGGATCTTACTCTTCCTGTATTTAGGAAGAGTAAGTCTCTTTCACCAAATGTTAATTATTTGAACGATTTCTTTTAACTTTGGTTGTGATTTTACAGGCTTTAATTTTTTATTATTATTATTATTATTATTATTATTATTTGGCTTTTGTAAACCATCTTGCATATTACCATACTTAGAAAGGTGGCGTATAAATTCAGTAATAAATAAATAAGCTCATGTGTGTTTACTGCAAAGAAGATAATATGGATTATGCACTGATTAACAGCCTGTGAATATATGGATTTAGGAAGACTACATTTACAAAATCTACAATTTTATAATTATGTTTTATCTTATATCATTCTCAGATAGCTCATTGGAAGATGCAAACTTAAAAAAAACAAGCTTAAAAAAACAAACTTAAAAAAAACAAATAAGGGGAAATTACAGCTGTAAAATATTAATAGAAGAAGGGTCAAAGCTATCATTCAAAAATGGTTTCTTTTTTTAAAAAATACATTTTCTGTTGTTTTACAAAACTGAAACACTAATACGGAAGGATGAATAAACATACCTAAATCGAACAACAACAGCAGCAGCAAAACAGCACTGAGTAAAAGATAATTGCTTCAGAAATCCATTATTTTATTTTTAGTTATGAATAAATCTTTGAGAAGCTTTCAAAAATCACATGATGCCTATCATTACCCATAATTTATTTGTCCCCCATTTCTGATATTCAGAAATATACATTTTGGTTCAATTAACCTATCCTTTAAAAATTATGGTCACTGCATCTTGGGGTGTCAATTTCCACAAATTAATTAAACATTATTTCTAAACAACTTTTCTGTCCACTTTCAAAATGTGAATGATGCGGAGGAGCACTCTTACCATACTAGTAGGTAATGTATGACTCATCTCCAGGTGTTAATATAAAATACACTTAGAGCAACTGATCTGATAATACATGGAAACTTTCCTATTCATTCCATTAGAAGGAGCAGTTCCTTTATGAAATACTTATAACTATGTATTGGTACTAGAAAATCCTTTCAGCTTCTGCACTAAAACATGCTGGGAAAGACATACTAGACGGGGACATCAGATTTCATCTATTAGCCATTTCCCCCACTTTGAATGTTTCTAGGTGAAACGCCTATATTACAACTCCAGTAGTGCCACATGTTTAAATAACACCTTCATATATTGCTGACAAAACAGCATCCTCCAATGGAGACAATCACTTCATCCCTGCAAGAAGCTATTACACTGCCTGCTCTTAAGAACTAGATAACCTTGGAACAGGTTTCAGAGGTGCACCGGGACTGTAGGATAGAGGATACAGGAAATGTCTGTCTTATACATACAAGTTCATTTATATGCTATTGAATGTAGCCCATTAAAACACATGACTGACACTTAGTTGAAAAATTAACCCAGACCACTTTGAAACCATGGCATTCACACCTAATTCTTATTCAGCTAGTGTATGGTAGCTTTATTGACAAGTAGTGACATTTCATTCTCAATTAAAACCCATGCTCATTGAAAACTACCACTTTAGGCACACAGTACGGCTAAACCTCTCACTCTGTCATATTAATATTTTATGTGCAAGAACTTCATTTTTATGGAATAAAGATTTGAGGCCTTCCACCAACAGTCTGATAGGATTAGACTCAGATACAAGTTGATCTACTCAGCGAGAATGCTGCTGTACTCATGACCTAACTTAAGAACATTCTTTGCTATCTTTTTACATTATCAAAAGCTCATAGAGAGCCTAAACATTTCAAAGACTGGACAAGCTCAGTAAAATTGAAAGTGATTTTTTTATATTTGCATTGTATTATTAAAGGCAGCATGCATTGTTCTTCAGAAACATTTTCAGTAAATGGCATATTCAATCATACAGTAAATCACTCATGACATTAGAGATAGGTAAAGGAAGCCATCTTAAATGTCTAAAGTAGATTAATATGACTTTGTGAATTCACAGGACCTCAGATTCATTTTTTTACGATACAGATTGAAAAAAAGAAGCCAATTAATCAAATCTCAGACCAGAAGAATGTAAAAGCAAATTGAGGTTTCAAGGCTCTGCTTTTTACCGATCTCTAGGATTCATGATGGAATGGTAATTATGATGGGTGACGTTAGTTACCTCTTTGAGACAACCCATAAAGTTGTTACTGACTGGTGATCCTGGCAAGTCTGCTGTGCTAGGACTGCCTCCCACATAGAAAAAATCATCGGAGCCCAACATGGTGTAGTCTTCTTGTGTGTAGCCCGTCGTGGTCAGAATTCCATCCACTGATATAGTCACCTAGATAACAAAGCACAGGGAAAGGACACGCTATACTCAGACCTACATACTAATGTCCTGGGATATGCCTGGTTTTTATTTTTATTTTTATTTTGTTTTTTATTTTTGAGACCTAAGGCGGAGCCCATTTTCATGTCTGTTTGAGGTTTAGTCTTGGATTCTATCCCTAGGAGCTCTAACTAGTTAAAAGAGTTGTCTTATTATTGAGCTAGTGTCAGCAGTCCCTATTTGCAACTCAAAAGGTTGATTAGCAGACACAAAAATGGTGTTAGTAGAATGCTTCCTAGGTTAGTTTAGCTGGTGTTACATATTAGTAAGTTTATTAAAGTCTGTCATTGACTAATAAAAAGAGCGTGCACTTTGATAACAGAAAAAAGGCACAAGCCGTATTGCCAGCAGCACAATCACTCTTTGCACTATATATAGATATATATACAGCAGCAACTGTGCATGCAAGGGCCTAAATTCCATGCCAAAGCAGGGGAGAAAAGAAGGGAAAAAAAACAAAACAGCAAAAAACAACCAAGTGGCGGCAGCAGACTCTGATGTGCACATGCAGGAGAGCGGATTTCAGAGAAGGAGAAGAAGAGAAGAGAAAGGAATGGAGAGAACCAAATGGCTCGTTGATGAAGTAACAATGGATGAATGTGTAACTTCCATCATTCCCATCCATGCTTGCATGCCATGCATTATGAATGGTTAGAATGCTGGCTAGGCCAGCAGCATGTTAGGCCAGCTTAATCCCTTGTTAGTAAACCACAGCTTCTGATGCAAAATGTTAACGATGCCCTTCTACATGTGAGTTCAAAAAATAAAGAAAAAGGAAAAAGGAAAAAAGGAGAAAGAGAGAGAAAGAGTCGGACAGGAACAGATAAATAAAAGAAAAGAGATCAACAACAGATGACAAGGAGGTTAAAAAAGTAAGCAGAAGAGTACCAACCGCAGTTCCTCTTTTGTTAATGATGTCTACAGTTAAAAGAAAGAAAGGAAACACACGGCAAACCCAAAATAAGAAACAATTAGAATGATATCTACCGAACAATGTAGTTTGTTTACCATAGCGTGTCCAATGCCTGAGTGCTTTGTGGAGAAGGGGGGAGAAAGGAAATTAAAAACTTGTGAACAGAATAACGATCGTTTACTTAAAAAATATGATGGTCACTACCAATGTTAGTACATTATTTTGGTTCAGGTAACGGTTAGTAGAATGAAACATTCCATGAATGACATGTTAGTTATTAAGCATGTTAGTAACACAGAAAAAAGGGCAAAATAATTTTACAAGGAAAAATAAAAAAGCAGACTAACAGATAGGCCTCCACAGAGGTAACAGCAGTTGTATTTTCCTGCAAATATATATTGTGATATTGATCAATATAGTTATATATATATATATATGTATATATATACTGTAGATCTTATTTCAGCTCTCCACCGGACAGAAACAGATATACAACCACATTCCTTTTGTTCTCCTCCAGCTGAATGTTTCTGACAGACATTCGAAATGACTCTTGTGTTGGAATACCTAAAGCTCATCATCTGACCTCGGCTTCTCCTGATCCCCAACCTTTCCCAAACTCATTACCCCGCAAATCACTACGAATCCCCTAGTACTCAATTTTTTTACATTCATTTCATTTCATTTTATTTTTCACTCAGCACACAAGGACTCCTTCTGAACTCCAAAATGTCTTTCGGTCATATTGATGGACTTTAGGATCACAGTTTACCGCAATGAAACCAAGCAAATATCTCGACCCGGGGTGTCCGTGGGAGTGGGGGTCATAAAAGTCAATATGGCAGCTGCAACTATGCAATCAAAACCTCGCCCTTTCATTAAAAGGGGCAGGGCTTCGATTGTGCAGATGTGGGCACCATTTTTACCTTTTTGACCACCTCAACGGACTCCCCTGATCCTGACACACAACAATGAGTAGAATGGATTTCTGCATCTGACTCTCTGATCATGCACCTGCCAGAACATCTGTACCTGACACCTTTCACTCTCTTTCTACTTTTTTTTTTTTTTAATGCTGCATGGTTGCAACACTTTTGGATGAGCAAAGGCAAATCTAGAAAGTGGGCTGCTTGCAGTCTATTTCAATGTCTACTTTTGTTAAATTAGTTGTTCTATATTCATGATCTTTTAATTACTGTTCCTATGATTATGCTTTTATTTATTTTATGTAAACATTTATGAAAATTACTTTATCATTCTTATCCTTACAACAAACCTGAACACTCTATATGTTGTATATTTCAATGAAGTAGGAGAAAGAAAGCATGACTTCTACTAAAACTCCAGTTTAACATTTGAAAAGGATTGTGTGTGAGAGAGAGCTAGAGTGAGAACTTCCAACATCTACATAGTTACAGTATGTCTATATCTTAAACGTACTTTTATTTATGATTTATGTTAATTCTTTACCACTGCTGTACCACTCTATACTCTGTCTCACAGCTTTGTTGCAACATTGGAAGTACCACTAATAATATCCCAGATGGAATCCTTCTTGTCTCCTTCTCGGTAGTTTCTGTACTCATCAGGGAGCTTGTAGAAGTACTAGTCACATGTTTCCTCTAATAAAGTGTTTAGCATCCTGCACAGGGACTATCCTCAGAAACCTTTACACAACCTTTGAATTGTATAGAAGATGGCACAGAACTGGCTGCAACCCCACTGCTAGACCTGTACATAAAAGAGATGTCTGAGATGATTGAGTTAAAATCAGTGAATTGCCCAAAGCCAGCAGAAGCTTCACGGTAAGTGGTATAAACTGATCTTTCAGAGTCAAATCCCACACAGAGTTAAGTGTGATATACTGTTATCACAATGGATAATTGAAAGGTTTATATTTAGACTTTATTGTTTGTATCCCATTTCAGCCATTAGATTCGCTAGATGTCATTTAGCATCTCACTATATATTCAGTTCCCCCTCACTAAATTTGGAATTATAGCAAACCTCTCCACAGGTTTGTTTCGAAAGCAGGTATAACTATTAAAAGGTCACAATATTTTTAAACTTGAAAATCAAAGCAAAATTGCTCACAACTATTTGAATGAAATAGAATGAACTATTTAGGATATGATCCTGCCACCATTTTTGCATGGATAACTCTCATCAATTTCACTGGAATTCTTGCATCAGTAACTTATATACACAACTGCAACCTGAGGATATAAATGCTATATGTGGAAATACAGAACATTATTAAGCATAAGTTCATTGGTAGGACATGTGTCTTTCTAGAAATTGTCTGCTATTAATATATTTTAGGTATTTATTCCATCTGTATAACTCAGTTTTGGATTTCTCAAAATGTAGTTGAGGGACCCCAGCAGATTAAAAACCAAACAAACATTCAGCTTTGTTTCAGCGACAGAAAGAAGGAGCTTCTGGGCAATTACAAGTATGAAATAGTAGCTTAGGAAATAATTGGTTGTCCAGGTGCCTAGTCTCTCTGATAACAGTGTCTACTCTTCCCAGCCCACCTGCCTCCCACATATACACAACATTAAGCATCTGGCTGTGCTTCCATAGTTGTTCAGAGCAATCCTGGTCAACAACTACTTTCTAGGTGTGCCTGTGCTCATGTATGAAAGGAATTATACATCTCTATACAACATGGAGAACCTTAGGGTTCAGAGGTCTATTAAACACTCAGCTGCATGTTATTCTAACTGCAAGATCACCAAACACTTAGCTGTAGCAGAAGCAAAGTCAGTTATTGCTGTAACCATTGTACTGTTACCTGACGCAGATTCCTGGTTACTTTCACATCATGCCAGGCATTGTCATTAAATTTCCCATTCACAGGTTCCACCAGTGCTTCAAAGGCCCCTGAGCCCAAATTTATAACTAAGGAGACAGCTCCATTTTTCAGGGCAAGGTTGACATAATCAGCTGATTTCCCAGTGTGAAGCATTAGTCCATTCCTCTGTAGAGTTTTAAAGGATAGAGTTATTTCATCGCTGCTGCTTTGGATAGGATTCTGTGAGAGGTCGTAGCAGAAATACTCTGATCCTTTGAACGTTGCAATGTACTCTTCTTTTCCTAAATAAACAAGAAGAGAGAAAATCTCTGTAATTTGTTGCTTCTTGTATATATATGAACCAAACACACAATGTTCACATAAATCAGACTTTTTTTTCCTAATGCAAGAATCAGTAAGGATTCTTGTATTCAGTAAGGATATTCCTTACTGGGAAAAAAAAATCATTTAACAATTATTGAATTCTATTTGTTTTGTTGTGGACTCTTGGGAGAAGAAAACTGGCATGGAAG